CATACATCCATGCATGCACACAGACATACATACCCACATAGGTACATAGGTACATTGGCATACATACAACCATATACATCTCACACACACACATATACGTACATATGTACTTTCTCATATTCGTGTAAACTGGTGTGTACATATAAATAAACAAGCAAACACACACACACACATATAATGTATATATATATATATATATATACATATATATATATATATATCTATATATATATATATATATATATGAACTAGGTAAATGTACGTGTATATTCAGATACATACATATATATATATACATGCATCGAACCTTTATTTGATTATTCATGTGGGTGTGCCGTGCCTTCAGTTGAGTGCTTGTACATATACTCAATGGCAGAGCTTATCTTTGTATGTTTACATGCGTGAGCACTTCTTCTTCGCATATACATTCGCATTTAGTTATGGACGGCAGATAAATCTGTATACATATATATATATATATACACACATAGAGCAAGGGGTAATTAAGGTGTTTAGGTATGTTGAAAACCTAAGGTCTTAAAAGCCCGCAATACAGCAATATAGAACAACCCAAATACTAGGACGATCCCTTTTGAAGTTCCTAAACCCTAAACCCTAAACCCTAATATTGCCTTGGACAAAGTCTGCGGTGTTCTTGGGGGATCTGGATCTGGCCAGCTGCAAGGTTCCAAGAGCGGTTTTTGCGGGCTACGATGCCGACAGGCGTGCCGGAAGTGGGGGTTTAACGTACAAGCTTGCATAGTTGCTAGTGTCATCCTTAGGTTCCGTTTTTTTTTAACAGGTAGTGTAATGTACCCCCCAAAAGCCCCACCAAGGCCCTCTACGAGGGGTTTGTTTGTGTGCTGACATTGCGGTTTCCCTCAGCCCTTAGGTGCTATTATGAAGGGTTGGCTACGATGCATGGGTTTCGGGCTTGCTAGAGTTTGGGGGTTCCATGTGTTTGGGGTTTCTGCTTAGACTTGCAACCCTAAACCTTGAACTCCTTGAACTATTAAAACCCTAAACCCTAAACCTTGAACTCCTAAATCTTCTTGTATCGGGTGCACAGGACTTGGACTTTCACCCGGTCTCGTGGAATGTGACGCTTTCCGTTCAGAGCCCCGAACCTAACCCTAAACCCTAAACCCTAAACCGTGGGCTGAGTATCGCTTGGGATGTTGGTTGTTACGATGGAGGCATGAAGCCCACAAGTCTGTGGGAGCTCCACGGTTTGGGGTTTAGGCTTTAAGCTTTAGGGCTTTAGGGTCTTAGGGTTTAGGGTTTAGGCTTTATAATAAGCTTTAGGGTCTTAGGAGTCTTAGGGTTTAGGGTTTGCGGTTTGTTTGGAGTATGCTTGCGTTGTTTTGGTCTCAGAGGGTGCATTGAGCAACATGCTGTTGGAATTGGTTTTAATGGGTAGCTCTCAATCCCTAAAGCAGCCCCCTTTTTATCATTTGCTCTGCCCCCTAAACCCTAAACTGTTTGGAATCCCTATGCCCTATGCCATGCTGTGGGCCTCCATGTTTCCCATACGATACACTGGAGCAATGCAATCGTACACAAACTATGTACCCGACAGGTTAAGCCCTGAACACCAAACTCCCTTCTGTTCGCCACTGGTTCACGGTTTGGGACGTGTTTGACGGATCAGAGGACCTCGGGTGAAATGGGCGAAGGGGTATACGGTAGAAGTATATGGTTATTCATAGCCTCGTTGTTATCGCGGGAGGTGCCGATGGGACGCATGGGCTCAAAGGGTGCATGCTTTCCAAAAGCCGCGTGGGATGGCTCAATTTCGACCAACAACCATGGCAGCCTCGCGCTGATGACAGCACCTCAGTGCAGTCGCCGCCTGTCCCTAAACCCCAAGCTGGACCCCAAACCCTAAGCTGGACCCAAAAGTCTAAACCCGAATCGCAGGCTGAACTCTCTTTCAGCGACCGGCCAATTTGCTCCGACCTCCGTGCTAGTGGCTTGGCGGTTTAGGGTTTAGGGTTGAGGCGTTCCCTAAAGTCTGAAGCTTCAAAGCCTCACAGTGATGAAGCAGTGAATCCCATTCCCTCACTTGGATCCTACCTTCAAAAGTTCATATGCATATGCTCAGCGGCGCTTGTTCTAGGTCACGCAGCTACACTGCACACCGTGTAAACCCTTCTTGTTGAAGTGGCCTGGTGTGCACATACTCTCAATATCTCATGAGGAGCCTGAGGAGGGAAAGTTGGGGTTAGGGGACTTTGCTTCCTTAAACGGTTTAGGGTTTAGGGTTTAGGCCCTATGATTACTCCGTTATCAGCTCTTGACCCCGGGACCACCCCCTCCCACATAGCCACCCAAGGCTATGAAAAGCCGAGGCCGTCGATTAAGCTGGTAACCCAAGCTACACAGTGTCCGTCGTGAGACTCGTAGGGGTCAGGGTTGGGGCATTTAGGCGTCATGGTTTGAGGAGTTTAAGGTTCAGCGGTTTTAGACTTGTTGTTTTAGGGTTTCGGGTTTATCTATCACCATCTCAGGGCCTTCTCCTTTGAGAGTGGTCTCGGGGCTTGCCAGCTTTCATCCCCGTTTGGGTACATGGCTTCGCAACCAATGTATCCTTTAGGTGTTTAGTGCTTCTCAACCAGCATATCCCTTTAGTTTTGAGTTGGGCTACCAACATATTGTTATCGTTTTTTAGCGTTTCTCAGCCTTCTTTGTGATTTTGAGGGTATCGGTTTTTGGAACCAACGTAGTCGTGGTGGTAGCAAGGGTCGTGTTCGTGGTAGTGGTAGCAGCAGTAGCAGCAGCAGTAGCAGCAGCAGCAGCAGCAGCAGCAGCAGCAGCAGCAGTACTAAAACTAGTACTAGTAGTACGTAGTACCAGTAGTACACTAGTACAATAGTACAGTAGCACAGTAGTAGTAGTAGTAGTAGTTGTAGTAGCAGTAGCAGTAGCAGTAGCAGTAGCAGTCGTAGTAGTAGTAGTAGTAGTAGCAGCAGTAGTAGCAGCAGTGGTAGTAGTAGCAGCAACAATCGTAGAAACAATAGTAGTCGTAGCAGCAGTCGCAATGCCAGTCTGCAGTTGGTCGAAGTGGCCGTGCCCGCGGCCCCAAGTCATCGGCGCCATTATTATTTTTTAGTACCTGGTTCATGTCTCGCTTGTGCAGTTTAGCAATTTGCGGGGAAAGCAACGACGAAAGCAGCGAAGGGTAAATTCCTTTGCCCTAAGCCCTAAACCCTAAATCCTAAACCCTAGTCCAGTCGAGTGAGGTCGGTGGCAAGATGGGTCCCGACTTCGCGAGTGGTGAGGAGGATAACGGCTACCGGGAGGAGATCATGGAAGGTTCCTCTCCCGGGTTTGGTGTTTAGGGTTTAGGGCTTAGGGTTTAGGGGGGTTGGTTTTTGACTGTTTAGGGGCCCTGGGGTTCAGGGTTTTAGGGCTCAGGGTGTCGGTTGAAAAGTTTTTTAGACAGCTACAGGTAGTTCCTCATTGTTCTTCACACCTACCTCATTTTGTTGCTTGCGGACCTGATCCACGAAGTTTTCTATGCAGGCCAAGTCCCTGCACTTCAGTGTTTCCCTAACCCTCCAGGTACCTACTATATAGGGCCCTAGGGGCTCTAGTGCCCTATATAGTAGGTACCTGGGGGGTTAAGGTTTAGGTAGTTTGCAGCAGGCTGATCCCGGATGCAACGTGGCAGCCGCAACCCACAAGTAGCACAGAAGCTTCATACCCCGATGCCGAAACGATACTACCTGTAGTCTCCATTGCAGTTCTTTTTTTTGTTTTAACCATTTATATATTACGGAGTTTTTGAGGCATCCCGGCATCCCCAAAAAGGAACTACAATGGAGACTATAGGTAGGTCGGCCTCTGGAAAACTTGTGATTTCCGCCGTTGGGCCGAAGAGGATCCCCTCTACAAGCATGTTACAAAGGCTTCAAAGGGCCAACTTAGCTTACTAAACCCTAAACCCCTGAGTCCTAAGCCCCCTGAACCCTAAACCCTAAACCCTAAACCAAATTAGACATCCTTGAATGTCAGCCCTAGATCCTGGAACCCGGGGAATTTGCCTGCAGAGTTTCAGGTTGCAGGCCGGCTGAAGACAACTAAACCCTGTTATAGGGTTTAGGGTTTAGGGTTTAGGGTTTAGGGTATGTGTATACATATGTAAATATATAGGCAGCTACAGGGAGAAACCCTGTTTCGAACCTCAAAGAGAATTCATACTACACCCTACCTTGCACCCTAAGCCCTGCTAGGCATCCGCCAGCAGATGGAGAAAGCTGACTTCGTGGAGGGATTTCTGCTGACAAACGATTCCGGCGAAGGCCAGGGTCAGGTAGGGTTTAGGGTTAGGGTTTCCTTGGTTAGGGCAGAGGGTTTAGGGTTGTTTCGCGAAGGGTTTGTGGGATTTCTGGGTTGCCGCTTAGGTTTCGCGGGATTTCTGGGTTGCCGCTTAGGTTTCGCGGTGATAAGGGTCTAAGAATTGTAGTGCATGTTGAATGATGGGGGTAGCACAGGGACTCCCCTCCCAGACCCCGCCGGGAGCCCCAAACCAACTTAGGCGCATGGTTCGTGCGAAAGCAAGCCCCAAAGAGTAAGCACCTAAAGCCCTTGGACAGCAGTCCTGTCTGGTTCTGGTATTGCACGAGCGAAGCCCCTGAAGCCTACATAATGGGGCTCGTGCTTTCGTTCGTCAAGCATTGTTCGAGCCATCAATCAGTCAATCAGTCAATCCATCAATCAATCAGTCAACCAAACAAACAATCGACAACAGTGTACCAAAAAAACAGTATATATATATATATATACATGTATGTATGTATGTATGTATGTATGTATGTATGTATGCATGTATGTAGGTATGTATACATATATACATATAAGCCTTAAACTCTTAGAATTTCACCCTAAAGCCCCTAAACCATTTCCAGGTCTGGCACTGAGCGGAATGACGAGCAAGCTTCTCTCGGATCTCAGTTGCTCGCCTGGGCCCAAGTTGCACCCATCCTGGGGTTTTAGGGTTTAGGGATTTAGGGTTTAGGGATTAGGGTATAGGGTTCAGGGTATAGGGTTTAGGGTTTAAGGATGACCTAGGCTTTAATGCCGACGCCTTGTGGAGCAAGGAAGGAGGAGGTGCGACGCTCCCATCCGGAAGCTCATACCTACACCCTTGCGCATCGAAGCACATCCGAATTAAAAGCAGCCTGCATCCTCAAACAAGGTGGGTGAGTGGTCGGGAAGGACTGCTGTAGGGCCCTAAACCCTAAACCCTAAACCCTAAACCCTAAACCCTAAACCCTAAACCCTAACCAGGTCATCCGGAAGCCCAGAGGGCGACTGGACATCAGATGCGTAGTTCCTCAGATGAGCCCCATAACGCTACAAGTGCCTGAATATATATATATATATATATATATATATGTATATGTATATATATATATATAAATGCTGTTTCGGGCCAGTCGGAGAACGAAAAGGCTAAACTCGAAAGTGTGCACCACTGCCAAGGTATGGGAAGCAAGCAAAGATGACCTTGACTTGCGTACCCGATCTCAAGGACCGGGCTCCAGAGAGGAACGTGGGGAGTTGGGTTCAGGCTTACGGTTTAGGCTTTTAGGGTTTTAGCGTTTAGGGTTTAGGGTCTCAGGGTTTAGTATATGAGCCGTGGTAGAGTAAGAACCCAGACATGCAGTCACCTGTTTACATGAAAACCCATATTTTCTGAGTGTCGAGTGAACTGAGAAAAGGTGAAGTCCAGAAACAAGTCGGGTCCTAAAGTTTGCATAGTGCAGCTTCTTCGTGCAAGGAGATGACGGCTGCGGGTTTGTTGGGACATTTGGGGTGGATGTTTTGCCGGAACTCGAAGCGTTCCACTCCGGTGGCAGTAACCGTTGTTGGCATTGTTACGAACGTGAACCAGGCGTTCATCTCAGACGCTGTTGTTGCTGTACATACTACAGTAGTGTCTCCGACGCCATGTCATAGCATTTACTCTGACCGTACATTTCGACGCCGAAACTGCTAGTGTCTGTTTGATGTTCGAGCATTCCCCGCAACTCTCGTGACAGCTTAATTCCAAAGCCTGAAATTGTATTTAGCACTGGAAGCATCGTAAACAATACAGTGCAAACACATATTATTACACATAGTACCAACATTGATAGAAGTTCAAACACATTACTTGTTTCGGTGATGATAGAAACACATCAAACAGTTTAACCTACATGTAAAAGGAAAAAGGCGAGTAACATTTACCGCTAAGAAGAATAGTTGATGCAGCTAGTTGGTTCAATGGCAGTGACAGCAGTCCAAGCGTTTGAAGAAGCCTGAAATAACAATAACCGGAATCAAAAAACTGTTGTCATGCTAGTTCTAAAAAGCGCTAGCTACTTCAACGATGATAGCAAGACCCAAAGCTTAATGATCATTGCTGCTGTTAGCCCTAAACCCCTGAAGCCCTAAACCCTAAATCCTAAACCCTAACCCCTAAACCTTAAGCGCAAAATCCTAAACCGAGCGAGGCTGAGAAAATGCCCCTCGTGAGCTCGGCGCTGCTTTGCCCATCACTGCTGGAGTTTGCGGAACTCGCGGCTTGGACTGTTCAAGGAAACTGGGTCTTATAGGGCCTTAAGAATTAGAATAGGGTTTTGGGGTATATAACCGTATGACTATAAGGGCACGATGCGGGGACATTGTCAGTTTTTATTTCAACTTCTGTATGAACCCAGCTGCTTTGATAAGGGTATTTGGGGGTTAATATAGGGGCCTTAATACTTAGAATAGAGGTTTGGGACCCACTATATTATAATTATGATAAGGAACCCCCCCAAAAAAAAAAAAATAGTATAGGTAACTATTAAGGCCCCTACATTATGGGGGTTTCATGGGGATTCACCAGGGCTTCGCAGGGTTTTACAGGGTGCGGAGAGAGCCCAAGACGGCTCAACTGGGGATTTTCCAGTTTCGGTTTTCGACAAACCCAAAGGGTCCTAGCTACTGTCAGTGGATACTTCCCCGAATCATAATAGTAATTCCGAATAGTATTCCTAATACAGACACCCTAGATTCTACAAAAAACAGGTGTTTAATAGGACCCTTTGGGAAAATCTGATGAGGAGCACCAGAGCTCCTGCACTCTACGCGAGGAAAGCTCCGAGGTTCCGAAAAACCTCGGGATCCTGAACATGTCTTACTTTTAGGATTTAGGGTTTTAGGATTTAGGGTTTGAGGTGTAGGGTTTTAGGATTTAGGGTTTGAGGTTTAGGGTTTTAGGATTTAGGGTTTGAGGTTTAGGGCTTCAGGATTTAGGGTTTAGGGTTGGGAATCCAACGCTTATGTACCTTGTTTGTTGATGTTCGGTTCTGGGGCTTTGGCGGTATACCCTAAACCCTAAACCCTAAAGGGTTTAGGGGGGCTGTCGGCTGAGTAGGTCAACTTCTACGACCATGCCTCGCTGCGTGCGGCCATGAAGCCATCTGCCCCTTGGAATCCCTAATATCGGTTTAGGGTTTTGGGCTTAGGGCTTAGGGTTTAGGAATGGTTTCTTACCTATACTATTTTTTTTTTTTTTTTGGGG